TGTAATGATCAACAATATAAAACTGCCCTTCAAAGACAACTAAATTTTTGAATTGTCCATTTCCATATAGCGGAGGTGAATATTGAATAAGATTCCTGTTTATGCTAATTTTTGTTAAGTAGGATTGAATATCAAAATCTAGGCTACGGATCAACTAAGCAAAATCAAAAGTAAAACAAGACGAGAAAGGGAATAAATGACACGAGGAATTGGTGATGCGGAAAACCCAATGAAGGTAAAAACCGCGGGTAGAATGAGGATCTACCAAACTTTCACTATGCAAAAGATAATAATCAGGGATTACAATAAGGATCGTAGTATGTATATTGCTAGATGGAATTGCCCTTTGCTCACGGTTTCTTTGCCTCTTATATAGACGATTGCTAGGTTAATTTCCAGTCGTTGCAAGGAGATAGAATCGTGCCCATGATTTTCGGACTTTAGTTGCTGAAAATGTTCTTCTTCTGTTTTGAATTCGAACAGACTGATCTGGCTAAGCTTGGACTAAGCCTTCACTTATCTCTTCCTAGAAAATAGGGAGTTGTTACTTGAGTTCGTCTTCCGTCAATGCTGATGATGCGTCGTCGAGCTTGCGCCTTCGTCAAGAGGATTCTTCGTCATTGACTTCATTTGACTATCGTTGACCAACCTGTAGATTTATACCCATAACAATTTGCCCCTCTAATTGCTAAAACGTGGATAACCATACACTTTTGGCAATTACTTTAAAAAATAAAAATGCAAAATAAAACTAAAAATAAACAAAAATTAAAAAAACTAATAACCGTAGAAAATTCAAATTATTTGGGGGGGCGTTTTCGTCCTTTATTACGCACGTTCTTCAGGGGAGTTACTCCACTTCTCCCATTCTCTTACTCTAACCGTCACTTCATCCTTTAATTACTGCAACACGCTTCGCGCTTCCCCAAACTTCTACTCCATTCTACTCTTCTCTCTTCGCTTTCTCTTTCTCTTGTGAAATTTTTCCGGCGGTTTGGTGACAGTGTGCAGCGGCGATTTTGAAATTCCGACATCCTCAATTACCAGGTAATTCACTTAATTTCTCTTTGAATTAATCAATTTAAGCACGATGTCAAACAAAATTCCCAAAATTAGAACTAGGTTTTCTATTCGAGTTGTTGAAAAAAGAGGAACGATTGTTTCACAGCAAAAATCAAAGTCTCAGTCTAAGTCGCTGATGGCTCCGAACATGACGAGTGATTTCGTCAAGATGGCGGGCTTCCCTGGCACTACTTTTGCCTACATTCCGGGGCCTGGCCAAACGGTGGAGGATTGTCCCGAAGATTTCGTTGTTTTCTTTAGATATCTTTTTGCGGAGACAACGATTAAATTTCCTTTCCCGCTCTTGGTTCATTCTTTCTTTGAAGTTTTGGGCATCAGTCCTGGACAGCTGATGCCTTCTGGTTGGAGGATATTGTCGGTAATAGTGGAGTTGACCAAAGATTGGGAGGATCCCTTTACTTTGGAAGATTTGGCGGTAGGATATGAGATTAAGATGGCTGAAAGTGGTTTCGTCAGTTTATGCAAAAAAGGAAGTCGGTTGGTTTTGAATACTGATGTTAATGACAGGGGTTAGAAGAAGTGGTTTCTCTTTGTTAAGAGGGTGTCGTTGGGTAATGACGGACTGTGGTTGACGGCAGGATGGCCGATGAAGGGTAAGTATTTTCATGGTATTCTTGTTCCTCTAGCTTAATTTTGGCTAAATGGTTTGATCTTTTCTCTAATTATGCATAACTGGACTTGGGCTTTCTTGAGTCATCGGAGACCTCTTCGTCAAAGGTAAAAGAATTCCTTGCCATCAGTCCTTCAGCAAGAACGTTTGTGAGAAAGAAGAAGTCGACGGGCGATCAAGCGGGGCAAGGGCAGAGTACTCCAGTGAGCACATCAAAACAAGCAGAAGACTCCGAAGAGACAATGTCAACTCGTAAGTTTTTATTTATTGTAGTGAGATTTTCGTTGCTTCGTCATTATGTCGTTGATTTGGGGTTTACCATGTCTAATGCTTTGTCAAAGTTGGCTTCTCAAGGCGTTCGTCGAGGTCGGAGCTTAACTCAGCAAAAAGACGATTTGCAAATGAGGAGGAAGTGTGGCTTGAACCCCCAAGAGAAACGACCGTCGGAGGTGGCGGAGAAAGCGGAGCCCGTTCAGACTCCGGCGACTCAGAGGACCGTCGACGAGTTCGGCACTATTACCTTATCTCCGTCCCCTCCGCGCAAGCAGCAGAAGGTTGACGACGAACCAACTGTCCCTGACATCTTGGCGTGTTTCCCTGGAGATTTCTTAGACCTTTGAAAGGACGACCGTCGCTCTCTCTTTCCTGGCTTGAACCAGCTGTTATTTCCAGGATCGAGGGAACACCTGGCTGGTACCACTGCCATGGATTTGGCTTCTGAGGCGGCTACGGCTCATTTATACGTAAGTTTTTACTAAGTACGATTTTTGCCTATTGGGGTTAAATTTTTGGGTTTATGATTTGTATCGTGTTTGATCAGTGTCTGCAAAATTCCTTGGTGTTGAGGGAGAGGGTGATCGACCTGGCTAAGGAGATGAAGAGGTTGGACAGTGCAGCCAAGAATAGTGAAGCTCAACGCAAGACTGCGGTTAATGTTTTCCATCTAACTAAGAAGGACTTGGATGAAGCGTCGAGGAAGGTGGACGACCTTGAAAAACAACTGAAGGCTCAATTAGAGGACATGGATAAAGAGCGTCAAAAGTTTCAGGACCAGCTAAAGGAGCAGGCTAAGCAGTTGGAAGATAAAGTTGGGGTAATTGCGACTAAGGACGAAGCTTTAACAAAAGTGCAAGAGGAGCTAGCGTCGGCGCAAAAGGAGTTGGACGACGCGCTTGATGACTATGCTGAATTGGATATTAAGGTGAAGACGAAGCTAATGAAGCAGTTCCTGGATGGAAAGGTTTCGGAGTGGCGTCCTCAGGAGGTGATTGATCGTTTTCTGGCCAACGACGGAACCCTCGACGAGTTGGAAGAGGATGTTGCGGTGGTGTCGACTGCGGATTCAGGTCCTGGCCCCTCTGTCACAATTGCTTCATCTGTTGCTGCAGCTGATGTCCAACTTCCCGTCACTGGAGATCAGCCTATCGACGACCAACCTGCGTTTGCTGTCGACCAATCTGTCGGGGGTGCCGAGGAGTTGCAGGTCGAGGTCGTTGATGACAATGCCCGCGCTGATGAGATCGTCAAGGAGGTCGTTGATGGGCTCTCCGCTGACGGAACTAATGCTTAAAGGTCGTCGTCTGTGATGGTTCAAACTTTTGCTTTGTATGCTTTTAAACAATCATTTGCTTTTGCTTTGTATTTTGGTTTGATGACTTGTGCTTTTGTACTTTTGTTCCACTTGAGGGCAAGTGGTTCTTTGACAGTTCGCTTTGTTTTATATGCTAAGTATTCCTTTGCTTTTCGTCATTTGCTTAAGTTGCGATCTGTAGACGTAAGGCAAAACACAATATAAAGTTTATAAAAAATTTGTTTGTTAAAGATGATATGACATGTCAAAAAGGATTTGTAATTTCAAAAAACTCCAACTCTTATTAAATTTAGGATAATATGTTAAACAAGGGAAGATGCTTAAATACAAAAATATGTTGTAGCTACACAGTATGCTTCGTCGAAGACTTTGTGATTTTAGGCCTATCGTTGCATTGTTTGCCAATGCCCCTTGTGTCCCAGCGTCGACGCTGAACCCTGAAGACTGGTTCATGGTTCAGGTGTCGGGTGTTTGGCGTCAGACGCTAAGGTCAGGTTTGCCCCGGGCTTCGTCGTGCTTCGATTGTCGCTTGAATGACAGCTTTACTCACCTTTTTAAAGGATGTCAGTGTAGATGACGTCTGTCGTCGTTTGCCTTTTGCTGTTGGGTTAAGGCTAGATTTTTCTTTTCCTTTAGTCATATGCCTCGTCGATCGATGTACTGCAAAACTAACATGGTTAAAGTACCGTTGGCCGTTGGCACGGCCAACGACCCTCCGATGCTTAAGTCAGTACACTTAGTCGTAAATGGAAACTTTAAACAAATGAAAAAAGCTGAGAGTTTTATTAGAACATTACCGTTTTGTCGACGAACGCTTTTGATTCTGAGATGAGTTGCCTTCCAACTTCTTAGAACGGGGTTACCTTGCAGGTCGGTTAGTCGGTAAGCGCCGTTGCCGATGACTTGGGTAATTTCGTATGGTCCTTCCCATGGGGGAACAAGCTTTCCGTCGGCCGGATTCTTTGTATTCTGGAACGCTTTCCTTAGTACCCAGTCTCCTAGTTGAAATGTCTTGGCCTTGACGTTTTTGTTGAAGCTTCTTGCGACGATTTGTTGTTGTGCTGCCATTCTGATTAACGCTGTCTCTCTTAATTCTTCAATTGCGTCTAAGTTGTCTTCCATTTCCTCTTGATTTCTTTCCTCCGTCATGAGACCGAATCTTGACGTCGGGAAATCGACTTCAACTGGGAGAACGGCTTCGCACCCATAGACAAGGGAGAAGGGCGTCTGCCCCGTCACTTCTCTTGGCGTCGTCCGATTGGCCCACAGGACTGCTAGGAGCTCGTCGGCCCATTTGCCTTTTGCTGCTTTTAGTCTCTTCTTGATGGCTTCCATGACGACTTTGTTGCTGGACTCGGCCTGCCCATTGGCTTGTGGGTACCTTGGTGTCGACGTCCTCAACTCTATGCGAAACTTCTGCAAAATGTTAGTCCATATGAATGTAATGACCTCCTTGCCCGTCACCTGTTTCAAAGCAACTGCCTCAATCCATTTAGAAAAATAATCGGTTAGTGCTAACATATAGACTCTTTGTCCAGGTGCTGCGGGTAGCTTCCCGACGATGTCCATTCCCCACCTCATGAAGGGCCATGGAGATAGTGTCTGGTGGAGGGGCTCTGACGGCTTATGGACGGTATTGGCGAACCGTTGACAGCTGTCGCATTTGGTCACGTATTGTACTGCGTCTTCATGAAGCGTTGGCCAAAAATATCCTTGTCATTTTGCGATTTTGGCTAATCTTCTCCCCCCGACGTGACTACTGCATATCCCATCGTGCAAGTGGCTAAAGATGGATTGTTGTTCATGTTTTTGGATGCATCTTTGGGATAACCCCGACGCTGATTTGTGGAACAGGACTCCGTCAATGATGTGGTATCCGGAGGCTTTGTATTTAAGTTTTCGTGATTCTGCCTTGTCATTTAGAAGGATGTCTTTGGTCAAGTAGTCTATGATGGGTTTGGTCCAGTCGTCGTCATTATTGATGTCGTCGACTAGTAGGATTTCTTTGAAGGATACAAATGGCTTTTGCAAATGGACTAAGGGGATGTTTGTGAAAGTGGTCTTTTTGAGGGCGGAGGCTAGGTTTGCCAGTGCGTCGGCTTGGGCATTTTGATTTCTTGGGATTTGCGAGATGGTGAAAGGTTCGAAATGTTTGGCTTTTTCTTTGGCTATGTCGAGGTATGCTGTCATTTCGGAATCTTTTGCTGCGAAGTCACCTGTTATCTGGCTGACGACGAGGAGGGAGTCACTGTATACATCCAAGGCTGTGGCACCTAAGTCTTTTGCGACTGCCATTCCTGCAATCAAAGCTTCATACTCTGCTTCATTGTTAGTTGCTTTAAAATCACAAGATATAGACCTTACTATCATGTCCCCTTGTGGTGACTTAAGCACCATTCCCAGGCCAGCTCCTCGTTGGTTGGACGAGCCATCGACGAACAAGATCCACTTGCTTTCGCTCCGCACGTTGTTGATTTCCTCTACCTCTTTGTCAGCTATGGCCTGTAAGTCGGGGTTGAAGTCAGCCACAAAATCTGCCAGGGCTTGGGATTTTATTGCTTTTCTGGGTTGGTACTCGATGTCCATCGTGCTCAAGGAAATGCTCCACTTGCCCAGACATCCTGTCAGATCTGGTTTTCTTAAAACAGACTTAAGCGGATAATTAGTCATCACCACTACGTGGTGGGTTTCAAAATAATGCCTTAGCTTTTTAACAGCAGTGATTAAAGCGAGGGATAATTTTTCTAGGGACGTATATCTTACCTCGGCTGGGAGTAGGGTTTTACTTACATAGTAAACCGGGAGCTGCCCAGCTTCGTCGTCTTCTCTCGTCAGGACTGCGCTGACAGCCACAGCGCTGACGGCGATATAAAGCTGCAAAGGTTCGTTAGTTTTGGGTTTCGACAGGAGGGGTGGCGTCATTAGGTATTTCTTTAAATCTTACAGAGCTTTCTCATGATCGTCAGTCCATTCAAAACCTTTATTTTTTCTCAAAACTTTGTAAAATAGATGACATTTATCTGACGATCGAGAGATGAAGCGATTTAATGCTGCCACTCGTCCTGTTAATTTCTGGGTTTCTTTAACATTTTGGGGGGATTGAATATTTATTAGGGCTCTGAATTGGTCACGGCTAGCCTCAATTCCCCTTTGTGTTACTACGTAGCCCAAAAATTTTCCAGCAGACACCCCAAACGAGCATTTAGTAGGGTTAAGTTTCATACCATATTTTCGCAATACCTCAAAGGTCTGACGGAGGTGATCGACGTGGTCCTTCGACTTCTTAGATTTCACCAGCATATCGTCGATGTATACCTCCATTGTATCTCTTAGCTGGTCTTTGAACATCCTGTTGACTAACCTCTGGTACGTCGAACCTGCATTTTTTAGTCCGAATGGCATGACTTTATAGCAATATATACCTTTGTCGGTCATGAATGCCGTCTTCTCCTGATCGTCGGGATGCATTAGGATCTGGTTGTATCCGGAGTAGGCGTCCATGAATGTTAAGAGCTCGTGACCTGCCGTCGCGTCTACCATGGCGTCGATGTGCGGGAGCGGGAACGGATCTTTAGGGCATGCTTTGTTGAGATCGGTGAAGTCGATGCACACTCTCCATTTGCCGTTCTTTTTAATGACGACGACAACATTTGCGAGCCAATCTGGATACTTAACTTCTCTTATCTTTCCAGTGTCGATCAGCTGCTGCACTTCGTCGTTGATGATTTTATTCCGCTCCGGAGCAAACTTCCGACGCTTCTGCTTGACGGGCTTATGATTTGGGTCGACGTTCAGCTTATGCGAGATGATGCTCGGGTCTATACCAGTCATGTCCTTGTGAGACCAGGCGAAACAATCTTTGTTCTCTTGGAGAAAGGCTAGGATGGAATTTTTGAGTTCAGGTGTTAAGTTGGCTCCGACACAGACGGTTTGATCTGGCTTTTTGGGATCTAAAGGTATCTCGTCAATTTCGAGGTCTTTGGGATTGTCTGGTGTCGGGCCATGCTGTAATTGCTATGCGGTTCTCATGATTGGTTTAAGGATTGTTTTGTAGCAGTGTTTGGCTTCACGGGGTTCTCCTTTAATTTCTTGGACTCCCCAGGGGGTGGGAAATTTGATTGATTGGTGGTAGGTGGAAGGAATGACTTTCAATCGGTGGATCCAGGGTCGTCCTAGTATGGCATTATAGGCTGACGGGCAATCAACGATGTTGAATTTGGTTTGAGGGTTTAGGCCTCCTGCATAGGTTGGAAGGGTTATATCTCCGAGAGTTGACATGCTTTCTCCACTGAAACCGACTAGAGTCGTCGACCTTCTGGTGATGTCCCTATCTTTCAACCCCATGTCTTCCATGGCTCTTCTGAACAGGACATTTGCGGAGCTTCCTCCATCGACCAGCACCCTTCGAAGCAGACAATTCCCGACGACCAAAGAAATTACCAAAGAGTCCTCATGCTCTCTATTGATGTTGTTGACGTCGTCATCATCGAAGGTAATTGACATTGCCTCCAGCTTCTTTTCCAGGGGGTCTCTGATTTCTTCCGGGACATCTGCATTATCTATCATCGACTTTGCGATTCTTTTTGCTGCAGAATAGGTTAGCCCACAAATATCGGAACCACCAGTGATAACATTAACTATTACCTTGGGTACAGGAGGCTTCAGAGGTCCGGCTGTCGTTGCTTCTGGCTGATGGCGACTTGCGTCATTGCTTTTCTTTTTCCCTAATAGATGCTTGAGGTTGCCTCTCTTCAACTGGAAGGCGACCTCTCTTCGCAGGGCATAGCAGTCTTCCGGCTTATGGCTATGATCGCTATGAAACTCGCACCATTTGCTCATATCTTTCTCCGACTCTGGCTTGTTGCTCTTCGGCGGCCAGCACACTTTACTTCCCAGGGGCTCCAACTCTTTTACCACTACTACGATATTCACGTCGAAGCCATACTCCGATATTTCGGGGTATTGCGAGGCGTCGAGGATATCTTCGACCTGCACGGCATTAACAGAGCGTGATCTACCTGATGCCTCGTAAGGCTGATGTCGCCATGATCCCCTTGGGTTTCTTGGGGCCTTCCGATCGGTCGAACTTCTGGAACTCGGGTAGGAGCTGCGATTGGCGATATCCTCGTCGAAGCGCATTTGAGCCACGGCTCTGGTCTGCACCTCTTCAAATGTTGAGCAGGGATACTTGACCATATCTTTGTACAGGTCCGAGTCCGTATGCAATCCGCGGAGGAAGGCTTCAATGGCAGTCCTATTGTCGACATTTTTGATTGAGACTTTCTCCTTGTTGAATCGAGACCAATAAGTTCTGATGGTCTCCTTGGGACCTTGGACGATCCGATATAGATCGCTCGTCTTCTTGTCGAACTGCCTGCTACTTTCAAAATGGGAATAGAATTTGTTAACTAACATAGCAAAACTAGTTATACTACCTGGTTCAAGTTTGCCGAGCCACTTGAGGGCGGGGCCTGTCAGCGTCGCGCCAAACGATTTGCACATGCATGTCTCCCAGCACTCGAACGGGATCGAAGCTTGCCACATCCGCTGCTTGTAGTACTCGACATGCTGCTCGGGACAGGTTGTTCCATCATATAGCGATGTGAACGTCGGGAGCGACAACCTTCTAGGAATCCGGGCCAAGGCCAGCTCGTCGCAAAAGGGGGTCGCTGCGAATCCATCTGGAGCTTCTCGCTGAACGGGGATCGGCACGCCGGGCATCTTCTTCATCATCGACAGCACCCTGGAGTTCTGCTTTTCTAAGGCAGTCAACCTTTGGAGCAGGATTTCCGTTTGGTCCGGCCGTGGGTTGCCTTGGTCGTCTCCTGAAGTCCGAATAATCTTTTGCCTGGCATTCCTGATTGGAGGATCCAAATTCATATCTCCGTCACTGGACTCGGTATCAGTGTCATGTGGAGATTCAATGACATCCAGCGGCGGCATCCTGGGGATCAGATCTAACTGCCTTGGCTGGCGACGACGATTGCTCTAGGCGGACTCCAATTGCTGACTGAGAGTAGCTGCATCAGATTCTGACGCTTCCTTTTCCTTGCTGAGACGCTCGTTGGATTCCCTAGCTGCTTCGAGGTCAGCTTGAATTATCTCATAAGCAGCTTTTAGCTGTTCTGGGGTCATTTCGTCAGCCGACATATTGAAGGGTTAACGGGGGGTTTTTAGATTTTACCTAGTTGTAGCCCCACGGTGGGTGCCAAATTGTTTATGCTAATTTTTGTTAAGTGGGATTGAATATCAAAATCTAGGCTACGGATCAACTAAGAAAAATCAAAAGTAAAACAAGATGAGAAAGGGAATAAATAACACGAGGAATTGGTGACGCGGAAAACCCAATGAAGGTAAAAACCGCGGGTAGAATGAGGATCTACCAAACTTTCACTATGCAAAAGATAATAATCAGGGATTACAATAAGGATCGTAGTATGTATATTGCTAGATGGAACTGTCCTTTGCTGACGGTTGCTTTGCCTCTTATATAGACGATTGCTAGGTTAATTTCTAGTCGTTGCAAGGAGATAGAATCGTGCCCATGATTTTCAGACTTTAGTTGCTGAAAATGTTCTTCTTCTGTTTTGAATTCGAACGGACTGATCTGGCTAAGCTTGGACTAAGTCTTCACTTATCTCTTCCTAGAAAATAGGGAGTTGTTACTTGAGTTCGTCTTCCGTCAATGCTGATGATGCGTCGTCGAGCTTGCGCCTTCGTCAAGAGGAGTCTTCGTCATTGACTTCATTTGACTCTCGTTGACTGACCTTTGTAGATTTATACCCATAACAATTCCTACATTTATCAATCCAATACACAGTTCCAAATTATTAATCACATAAAATTGATTCTTATATCATCATAGTAATTTTGAGATCTTTTATAAAAACGGCTAGTTTGATAAAAGTATTTACCAGAACGGCTAATTATAAAATTTAATTCCCAAAATAGCTAGTTTATTAACTTGAAAGTAATTTAATCTATTTCTTATTTTTCTTTGAACTTGTTTGGTTCACTTTATTTTTTTATTATTATTTTTATTTTTTTTGGTTTTTCTTAATTTTCAAAAAGATTTTTTAAGTTGGAAAATTTAAGAAATGTACAAAATTACGGAGTATGCAAACATTGGCAAAATTCTAATTTTGATAAAATAAAAGAGGCCTAATTTTTCTTCTAGATCATATTAATCACAAAATTTTGAAATTTCAAGTAGTAATGTTCTATCAAGACTATAGCAAATTATACCACGATAAGGGAAATTACGTATTATTCATCTTTTCTGGAGCAAATAAAAGGATTCTATGGCCAACAGTTTTATAACTCTAGTTATTTATAATCAAGACTTGATTGTTCGTACTTGCTTTCTAAATTTTAGGCTTTTATCTTATTCTAAGACATATTTTCTCCCTGTAAATGCATTCGAAACTTTGGGCTTTTAGACCTTAATATATTTCTATCTTTACTTTTTTTTTTTTTTTTTTTTTTTTTTTTTTTTTTTTTAATTTGTCGATTGGAAGTTTGGATCATTTTTTTTGAGTGATTGTTTATTTTGTGTAAATTTTTTAAAAATTGAGAATTGTTGCAAACATATTATGTTGAATGTTCTTGTTCAAATTAATGGGATATTTTAAACTATGCCATTAGATTTCCCATAGAAAAACAAAATTCCAATTTTTTTTTTAAAAAAAAAAAACCAAAATTTAAAAAAAATGTATTTTTTTAATAAAAAAAAAAACTCATAATATGAACCAAACCGGTACAAAGGAATGTAAGAAATAGATAATTTCCTTCTAAGTTAATAAATTAGCTACTTTGGGAATTAAAATTTATAATTAGCCATTTTGGTAAATACTTTTGTAAAATTAGTCATTTTGATAAAAGATCCGTAATTTTCTTGATTACCCAAATCAGTCCATTCTTCAACCCCAAATTCCCTAAACCTCAATTTCCCTAAATCAAACAATGCCAACAATCCTAAATCATAAAACAAGACTACTTTCTTGAGTTTCTTTGTATCTGCTAAATGATAACCTCTTTCGATTTCAATCAACTGAAAGTCAAGTTAGTTAGTCGTCTTACGAGAATAAAAGTAGTTACCCTGAAATTGTCTTGGGAAATCAGAGAGTGGATTGACGAGCTTTAGGCTATGTTTGGATAACAAAAAATGGAAGGAAAGGAAGGGAAGGGAAAGGGAGGAGACAAGCTTCCTTGTTTGGATAATATGTTGGGGGAGGGAAGGGGAGGAAGGGATCCATTTTCCCTCCTCCTTTAATAAAGACCATCCCTTCAAAATTGGAGAGATTTAAAGGGAGAATGGAGCTCATTATTTCCTCCACTTTCCCTTCCTTCCCCTTCCTCTTATTTCCCTCCCTTCCATTTCCCTTCTAATTTGTTATCCAAACATAGCATTAATGTGCCACGAATATATTCAACCACCTTCACCAAGACGGCGGCTCCACTGGTGTGGTGTTGGAGGCGGTAGATTGTGACGGGAACAGGGATGGAAGTGGCCGGTCGTGGCTGCCAAATAGTTTTAAGAGATTTTAAATTGTGACGGTTGGGGAGAGAAACGGCAGAGCGCCATGAGGTGGAGACGGCTTCGAATTGGAAAATGTCGATGCGAGATTGAAGGTGTTTTGCTATGATTTTGAGGATTTTATTTGGGAGATCTTCCCATGTTTTACTGATTGTTCATTGAAGATATTATGGTTTTAGAATTTAGAGTGAGATGAATTTGGAAATCATCCATGCCATAATTTATACGGAGTAACTATTAATAACAGCTAAAAAGTAAAGAATTACAACAGTGGTAATAGAGGTAAAGAAATGTGCAAAGGGAGGAGGTAGCTAGCAATTTTGGGAGCAAAGGTTACACATATGTATGACAATGGGTCGGATTCAGATCGGATTATGCAAAATCCGACTCTGACCCTACAAACTGTCGAATTTTTTTATTTGCCTCCGCCTCCGACTCTAAGAATCCGACTTAAATTTCCATCATCCGACTCCATGTAAATCCGATTCCGACGCTGACTCCGACTCTGACTTAAATTTCCTTCATCCATGCCAATCCGACTCCGACTCCGACTCCGACTCTGACTCCGACTTTGACTTTAAAAGTAATTTTGACCCAATTACCAATAACAATCAATATATAATCAACTTTAAAGACTAATAAATTCATAAATTGAATGATAAAAAATATGTAAGTACATGAAAAATTAGGAGTCGGATCGAATAAGTCTGATTCTAAGTAGACTCCAACTCCGACCCTCCTTTGACTCGGAGTTAGATTTTTTAAACGGGGTCGAATTCGGATAATTATTTCTCGGATTCGGTTCAGATTGTTTTTTTCGGATCGAATCGGATTAGGTGCGAATTCGGACTAGATTGTCATCCCTAGCTACACATACGTAGCCATTGACAATCACTTCTAGCCTCTAGGCTTTTTAAGAAAGGAATTTAATAAAACTATGAAAGTTTCAAATTTTAGAATTTGAAACTCAAATCCAAATCCAAAATTACAAGCTCTTTGTTTTGTAACAATTGCAACAATAGATGATACACAAAATTTACAAGGTACGGAGTACATAACATTAAAATACAAGAGACAAATTCAAAATAAAATGAGTACGGAATGCATACTTGAAAAACAATACTAAAGTGATAGGAATCTCAGAACTTGTAACTTAAAACAACCAAATTGCCCCATGTTGAGAAACAACAATTACACAGCAATATTATCACGGGAAGATGAAATAGCCAAGGGCCAATTCATATGAGGAGAGAACTTCTTATAGGCAGGGAGACACTCGACCGCCCTTACACTCCCATTGTCAAACCGAAATACACGACCAACAAATCGTTTGACGGTCTCTCCTAAAGTTTGAAATTCCGTCTTAGTATCCGAAGCATCAACAAAGTATATGCAATTCCCTTGGCAACCCGGGAAATCCTTAACACTAACCGAAACACAAACTTCTTTACCTAGCACGAAAACTCGATCCTCTAACGATTTCACATCAACCCAAGTACCCCATTCTTCATCCAGCTTATACACCTTCATATCCACTGTCCGACAACGGCCTCGTACACCCAGCTCCTCAAACATAGCCGCTTGCATTCGTGCTGCATCCTCCTCCATATAAGAATCAACAACATAAAACTGCCCTTCAGATACAACTAGATTTTTCAGGTGTCCAAATCCACAAAGTGGAGGTGAATATTGAACAAGATTCCTACATTTATCAATCCAATACACAATCCCCAAATTATTAATCACATAAAATTGATTGTTATAACTCATAACATCATCATAACAATCCCCTTCATTACCCAAATTCGTCCATTCTTCATCCCCAAATCCCCAGAAACTTAATAGGCTTAAACCCCCCAAATCAAACAATGCCAAAATTCCAAAATCATAAAACAAAACCACTTTCTTCACATAAAAATTCGTGGGAATTGAATCAAATATCAAACGAGAACCTCTATGTAACTCAATCAACCGAAAATCTACCAAGTTAATCGTCCTGCAAACACTACTATTACCCTTAAATGTTTTGGTCGAGAGCGGGTTGAGGAGCTGTAATTCGCCGGATATTGATTCAACCACCTTCATCAAGACGGCGGTGCCGCCGGAGTAGTGTTCGAGGCGGCAGATTGTGACGGGAGATAAGACGGCGGTGGCCGTAAACGGCGGCGGAAGAGTGAGGGATGATTGAGTTTGACGATAGGAGAGTGGAACGATGGATCGCCATGAAGTGGAGATGGCGCGAAATCGGAAGACGTCGATGCGAGATTGAAGGTGTTTTGCAATGATTTCGAGGATTTCGTTTGGGAGATCCTCCCATTTGTTACCGATTATGTTGGAGGAGTTGCTCATTTCTATGTTTAGCTTTGTTTTTTGAGAGAGATTAATTGGGATAATGGCTAACCAATGGATCTAGTACCAATTACTCCATGGCATATTGCATAATTATAGATTAGAGAAGTCAGCGAGTCAACGATCGTGTATAGTACTATAGTTCACGGCTACATGACCACATAAATTAGTACTCCGTAGTTGTTTTAGTGTTTTACTAGTATTGGTTTTTTACTTTTTGGCTATTAATCACGTACAATGTACTTTCTTTTTTTTCTTTTTTTTTTTAGTACTTTTTTTTTTTACCGTGTCTAAAATGCATCTTAAAATAATTATATCTCTATTTTCTTGTGTGTACAAATTATTAAAATTTGAAATATACAATAAGATATTTGTAATAAAATCTCACATATCTATATTATCTTTTATAAATCAATGACAATTATAATCATAAAAGTTTAAAAGTTTGATTATTAATTTAGCAATGGGGCGAAAATTCAAAGAAGAAGGGAGTAATATGTAGTACTCTGTATAAATGTATAATGCACATCCTTAGTTTTATTTATTTTTGGTGCAATTAGTTTTATTTTATTTGATACATAGCACAATGTATATATAATTTTTTTCGGTAGGTTTGTCTATGCTAGATGTATCCCTTACTCACTCACTCACCTAATAATCCTATTCGAAAGTAACCCGATTTAGATTTTAGCTTGTATAAAAAAAAAATATTTAACATAGAATAAAATCGTACTAGACCGACCTAATCCGACACAACTAGATCCGAATCACATGAATTGATATCTCTATCCATGTTTTACATTGATTATCAAACATTTTAACCTTAATTCATTAAATTATTGGGACATTACTGTTACATTATTTCATGTATGTACTGGCTTTTCACTTTGTATTCATTTGATTAAAATTGATTAAGTATTTGATAAATTCAATTGATTTTGTAGATGTTGTATCACTATTGGTTCAATTGATTATGTAATGTATTGAATTTACGCTAATCTGAACGAATACTTACATTCAAAAATTGGTTCAATTGATTATGTAATATTATTGAATTTACGCTAATCTGAACGAATACTTACATTCAAAATGGAAAAGATGAAAAAGGATAATTTAGTTAATAATAAGCCCAATTATCTCTATTATTCCTAAGCCCAAACAAATTCCAAGCAACAAATAAAAGCCCATAAAGGTTCATCATTTAGCTCTATAAATACAAGTCCCCCCTTTCGATTTTCTCATCTCCAATTCAAAAAAACCAACCGTAGAAACTAGATAGTGTCACCACCTCAAACAATTGCCACCATTACCAAAACCAAAATACATGCCAAATACCACAAACCCTCAATGCCGAAAACCACCATAAACAACCACCGCAAAATCAACCGTTGCAATTCCACCAACAACGCAAGAAACTGGGCAGATCTTCCAACAGAATTACTCGAAAAAATTGGAGAACATCTCAATTCTCGAATCGACGTTTTCCGTTTCAGAGCTGTTTGTTCTTCATGGAGGTCCGCCATTTCTCTCTCTCCTTCTTCGTATATCAATGATTTCACATTTCCTTTCATTGTTTGTCGTCTTGAACATAATCGTCGTAGTTGTTTGGTTAAGCTTATTGAAACCACCCAAGGTGGGTTCAAGGTGTTGAACCCTTTAACTATTCCTAAAGCAGAGTTCATTTGTGGTAAGAGTCTGAATTTGTTGGATTGTCGGTTGATTGAATTGGGGGAAGGTTTGCATTTTGATTCGAGTATTGATTATGGTGAATTGAATGTGAAGAAAGCTGTTTTGTTTCGTGGGGTTGGGATTGTTGCTATTTATGATTATGTGAAATTAGGGTTTAGGGTTTTTTGGGATGATAATTGGACCAATTTAAGTAAAAATCCGAAAATTCTGTATACTGATATAGTATTATGTCAGGGTGAAGTTTATGTGATGGACAAAAATGGGAATGTGTATTGGATTGATAAGTCTATGAATGTTGTTAAATATTTGCCCCGGCTTAATTCGTCGGGGCAGCAGAAGAACTTAGTTGAATCTGAAGGGCAATTGTATGTTGTTGAAACATATAGTCGTTTGTGGACGGAATTTGATGAATTTGGAGAGCTTATTGATAGTGGAACTGAGAAGGTAGATATGAAGGTATATAAGTTGGATGACAAATGGGGGATTTGGGTTCAGGTTACTTCGTTGAATGATCGAGTTTTTGTTCTAGGAGAAGATGTTTGTTTCTCTGTTTCGATTAATGATTTCCCCAGTTGTGAGGGAAATTGCATATATTTCATTGATCGTTTATCTGCTAGGGATGCAGCGTTTTCACATAGGCTTGTGAGATATTATGATGCTAAAATCGGGTACTATGTCCCTCGTGTCTTTAAATTGGATGATCGCGTCATGAGAGATGTTCAAGTGTCGTCACCTAGCCTCAAGCGATTGTTCTCCCTTCCCAAGGATTGTTTTTGCTCAACCCTATCCTCACCCTAATACCCTGCATCGTATGTACGAGTGTTATATTTTCCTTTTGTTTCGTTGAACTGATACGGAATTTCGGTGTTTCTGTATCCATCTAGAGAGAATCTGCTGCTTTTTGGCATGAGTATTGCTGCTGGATACTTGAGCTCTCTAGAAGAAATTGTAACTCGATCTGGCGTAGTGATCTTGGTGAAATGAAGACCTTCAACAATCGAGGTTTGGTCATATAGGAAATTAGTTTGTTATTTATACAGTCTAATCTAGTGAATGTATATAGATTGAATGAAAGGGAGAAAAACTTATGCAACTTTGTGTATTATTTGTGAGACATAAAAATTCCAAAGTTGCATATACTCCCTCTGTTTTAATAAGTGTCCCACTTTGATCAAACACGCATGCCGAGATACGACTTTGACTATTAATTTATCTAATTATATGTTAATTAAATCATAGGAAAATTGATATTATGAAAGTATACATTATAACAAATCCAACAATGTATTATTTTTTTGGTGTTTAGATAGCCATAATGGTGGGGGTGAGAATCGATCCCAGGATTTCCCGAAATCGGGAGGGAAGCTCGAACCACTTGAGCTATCCCTCACTCTCACAATGTATTATACAATAACATTTGTTTTTTATATATTAGTAAATTAATAAAGTCAAAATCATTATGTAAATAATGCAAAAAGTCAAATTGTAACACTTATTAAAACACGGAATGAGTAACCATTAACGGAGGTAGTACTTTCTTTATTTTTTTTAAGTGTTACACTTGTCAAATGCGGCTGTGTTATTTTAATTGTCACATTTTTTTCTTTTAGGAAAAAGCTGAATTAAATATTATATCTCATAAATGGAGTAATAAAGCAAAACAAAACAAATAATCGAATTAGATTTTACGTATGGAAAACAAATTGTTTTTTGTAGGGAATGTATGGAAAACAATTTCTTTTTGGGAACATATGAAAAACAATTTTTTTAGGGAACGTATGGAAAACAATTAGTAATACATAAAAGGAAAATTTGCTAAAAATAACGTCATCATTCACCGATTTTCCAAGAATAGAACGACCTTTTGATTATTGCAATATAACACCACCTTTCATATGCATTTGCCAAAAATGAAACAAAAAACCGGTCACTTATTTTACAGGTAACCCTGGGACACGTGTCCCAGTATGATTTGTAAGTTTTTTTTATTTTTTATTTTTGATTTTTTTTAAAAAAGCTAAAAACTAAAAAAAACCCCTCTTCCCACACCCTTGCACCGGCATCCACCACCCCCACCAAGACCACCCACCTGAAACCATCATCTTCTCAACCCCCTTCCCAATTTCAGGCACCCTCCCTTTCCTGAACCATTTTCTGACACCCCCTTCCTTCCTGACCCTGTTTTCGGCACCCCTTCCTTCGCGACCCCATTTCCGGCACCCCCTCCACTTTTCGGCAACCTCCTCCCCTTCCCGACCCCTTTGCAGCACCCCCCCTCTTTCTCGAACTTCAGGAAACAAATCTGATCTTCAATCAATCCTGGGGTTTGATGGGGGGTGGTGATTTGGGAAAGAAAAACCACCACAAGAATTTGGGGTTAAAGTTTCGGGTGGTGATTCAAGGGGGGAAGGGGGTGGAGATGGTTGTTGGAAGGGCGCAATTGGTTCGTCGGAATAGTGGAGGTGGTTTGGCGTCGACCGGTGGGGAGAGGAGCGTTTTCGAGAGGAGGGAGGAGGGTTTTTGAGGTGAATGAGGAGGGTTTTAGGACGGGAGGAAGGTGGTTCACTGGTAGGAGCTGGTGGTCGGGGTCTGGGTTAGGTGGGGTGCCGCCGACGCCGGGTAGGGTGCTGGGGCTGTGGCCGCTGGCGATTATGGGGAGGCCCAACGGTGGGGGTGGCTGCCAAGGAGGGAGGTTTTTTTTTTTTTTTTTATTTTTAAGTTTCGGTTTTTTTTTATTATTATTTTATAAAATATTAAGTATTGCTTTTTTAATTTTTATTTTAAGGTTTTATTATTTTTTTTTTAAAAAATCTTAAAAAATTGACTAATGACATTGTGACACGTGTCACTAGTAACCTTTTTGACAGGTTACGTTTCATTTTTGGCATATGTGTGTCAAAGGTCGTTTTATTTTGGAATAATCTAAAGGTCGTTCTATTCTTGGAAGACCGGTGAAATGTACTGTTATTTTTAGCAAATTTTCCTACATAAAATGTTTTAAAATAGATATTAATGGGAAATATTATTTTAAATGTAATTAGTTTAACTTCAATGTATATTATCAGTTTATGAAACTTTATGCAAGTAAATTTTTTTGACTAATGCATAATTAAAGATATAAATTGTCGAACTTCATAAACAATAAAAAAATTAAAACAGAAACTAAAGAAGTATAATTTAAGGGTACAATCCTAATAAAATTTAGTGAATAGCTTAACAATAGTGGAATTTGTTATATACATCCGTGTGTACCTTACACCCAACTAATTCAAAGTTAATTTTTACTCTTCATTTGATGATTAAATAAAAAAAATCATCAAAAATGAGAACAAAATACTTATAGGTATACGTACACCCGGGTGTATATAACATTCTCTAAGAATAGTGAAGGAAACATTAACATGTGGCTTAGGGATATAAATTTGGTATTAATATTATTCTACAAAACATTTTTCCCAATTCTCTTTTACCACATCTAGCATATTTTTATTAAGGTAACATAATTGGCTTATATATATTAAAAATTTTTAGGGCCCAATATAAAACAAAAAAACTAGAATAATTGGGCTATAGTTCATTGTTCCCCAACAATTTAAAAATCATGTGTGGATGAAATCAATTGTTATTATGTGCACGTGCACCTAGAACATGCCAAGTAAAAGCCTAGGGTTAAGTCTAGGCGCATAGCAACTATGGATTTTGGGGCATATAGGATGGCAATTTTGCAATTTGTTGGAACTTTCTAACATGCAAGTGGGCCATCCTCATTGCGGGGTGAATGATGTGTAACGGGGAGTGAAAAAAGAAGCGGGAAAACTATTTACTCTATCACTGTAAAGCAAAAGTCAGTAAGCATGTCTGAAAAAAAAAATGGAAGGTCTTCAATGGCGATAATGTAGCTCAACAAAGCAATTTTCTTTGTCAAATGTGAACTCCTAAGTGCAGCAGTGGATTAGTAGAATGAGTAACCGGCTAGTAGATATTTTGGGCGTCAGAAGCAATTCAGGAAGATGGAGAAGACGGGCATGGTTGCGCAAAGGAGCTGAGATTCGACTCTGAGATGGTTAGTTATGGTTTGTTTCTTTGCTTTGTGGGTTGTTTGTTCGCTTATGAGGTAATCAACTAAAGCAATTGTGGAGTTTAAAAATTAAAGCTTGGGTAAGAGGAGGTTAGGGTTTATGTTGAGTTTTTGTAATTTAGTAATTATGTTGGTTAATTGGTAGGGGTGGGTAATCTATTATTGAGTAATTATTGTATTTATTGTCCAAATTGTGATTGTTATGTGGGTAAGTTTGTTATTTAATTTTTATCGTTGTTTTTGTTGTTGTTGTTGTTCTTTATAATTGATGATAGGCTAATGTAGGTGAATTAATAGGATAATGTTGGTAATAATTTATTTTAATTGATGATAGTGATGACATTTGTTCTATAATTTTGGCTTTAGGTGTTGTGTGATCTTCGAATTTGGGCAGAATGCATGTTATGACGTTTTTGTTTGGTATTTTGTGTTGTTATGTTGTTGTTTGGTTCTATAATGAGTCAGTTGAATGAGTTGTGGATGTATATGTGTTGTAGGTTGGTCCATTTGGAGAAGATAGTGAGGATGTGAGGATGATGGAGAGGATGATGTAAATGTTTATGATGAGGGGGTAGAGAGTGGGGATGGTTTTACAGAAGAGGAGGAGGATGAAATGGGAGAAGGAGATGATGGAGGAAATGGGGGGTCAGATTATGAGGAGGTACTTGGTGAAAACGATGTTCATGGTGAAGGGGCAGAGGGAGGAGCTTCTTCATTCGTAACACCAAAGAAGGGTAGGGAAATGGTGCAAACAGTTTTCGGTGTGGAAGAGGAAATACCACCCCCAACTTTGGGCATGGTATTTGATAATTGGGATGAGTTAGATACTTATTTCTGGAGCTATGCTAGGCAAAAGGGGTTTGACATAGTTAGGGCTGCTTCTGGATGGGTGAAGGTAAAGGTGAAGAAGGAATTAGGTAGTGGGAACTGTTGTAAGCAGCAGCGGAATGCTAAGTGGACCTGTGATTGCTATGGAAGACCTTCTAGGAAGCGTAAAGTTGATCCACTGAAGGAAGGCTTGATTCAAGATGAGGAGACAATTACATATAGGAAAACCAAAAAGTGTGGATGTCTTGTGGAGTTGTATGCTAGTGTGAATGCAGAAGGGAATCGGGTTGTTCGTAGGCTAAAGTTGGAGCACACTGGTCACAAAGTTACACCGGGAAAGTCCAAGGATGTTTCCATGTACAAGAAGCACACTTTGGTTGTTAACAATAAGCACTTGGTGAAACAGGTGGTTTCAGCGAAGAAGTCGAGGGTGAAGGTTTCCCAGTTGTACGGATGTTTTGCTAGGGAACAGAATGGGGTGGATAAGATGACATTTACTCAAAAAGACTTGACGAATGCAGTGGTTGAGGAGGAAAAAAAGAGACTGGAACTTACTGAGGGTGATGCAAATGGGATGATTGAGTACTTTAACAAAATGAGTGCAGAAAATCAATTTTTTTTTTTCATCTTTGTAGGTTTGGGAAGGATGGTTCATGACAGGATGTTGTATGGGTTGATGCGAGGAGTAGAGCTGCGTATGAGGAGTTTGGCGATGTTGTATGTTTTGATAGTACTTACTTGACTAACAAATTTCATTTACCCTTTGCTGTATTTCTTGGTGTGAACCACCACGAACAGAGTATATTGTTTGGTTGTGCATTGATCTCTCGAGAGACCGCAAAAACGTACGAGTGGGTGATGAGGACATGGCTGCATTGTATGGGCGGTAAAGCCCCTACATCGATTCTGACAGATCAAGGTCTGGCAATTAGGAATGCTGTTCATTCTACTATGACCGACACTTGCCATAGGTGGTGCATATGGCACATCCTTCAGAAGTTTGGTAGGTATGTGAAGCATGATGAGTACGAAGATGTAAAGGATGACTTTGAGAGCCTAATATACGGTTGTTTAGATGCTGATGAATTTGAAGGTCGATGGTGTGATGCAGTTGATCATTACAAACTACAGGACAACAGTTGGCTAGAGGGTTAGTTTATTACACTTCGTAAAGGTTTATAATTTATGTTGTTTGAGTAATCTTATGATTTTGTGTTCCCATTTTTAGGGTCTGTGTAGTTGATGATCTTAATATTTGAGTAAGTGCTTGTTCTTGATGAAATATATGGATTGGTGTGAGTAGTTTGGATGGTCTGCTGTTGTGCATTATCGGCAGTAAGCACCAAATGTTAAATTTACGTATCACTGAGAAGTATAATTGTACCAGTGGTATTATTTTTATACCATTATGAATAATGTGTAGCAATGTTAATTTGTTATACCGACTTTAACATATTTTTGTCCCACGGTTAAATATTTTGTACCACTATCAATTTTGAGACCTGACTGTGTCAATTAATTGTACCACTGTAAGTAGTACTTGCAGGTAGCAGAAGCATTTGTTTCCCTATGTTGTTAATATTTGTGTGTGGCTAAGTTATTAGTACTAAAGTTGTTTATTGTGGAAAACTAATAATTGCAGTTATTTCAAATAAGGCTTTATGAGGAAAGCGTTATGTGGATTCCCGCGTATTTGAAACATTTATTCTGGGCCGGGATGAAAACGACGCAACATTATGAGAGTTTCAATCATTTCTTTAAAGGGTATGTTGACATGAATACGACGTTGTCTGATTTTGTGATTCGGTGTTGTGATGCTATGCAAGTAAGGGCCGAGGCCGAAAGAATGGCAGAATCGAACACACAACGGTATGTGAGGCCTTTAGTGACTGATTTCCCGGCCGAGGTGTTGTTTCAAAAGTGCTATACGGATGCGAAATTCAAAGAAGTTCAGGGACAGTGCAAGAAGATGTTATATGTTCGTTGCCTAGATCAATATGAAATCGGTTCTAATGAAATCGAGTTTGTCATTGAGGATCGTATTTTGATCAAGCCTAAACATGCAAAGAAGGAGTCCGTGACAAAGATTCGTAGATGCTACCGGGTTATATATAATACCAGTACTTATGAAGTTGCATGTGACTGTAAACACTTTGAGTGTCACGGAATCATTTGTTGCCATATGATTCTTGTTTATGATCTTAGTTTCTGAGAAGTATATACTTCGTCGTTGGAGGAAGGATGTACAACGGAAACACACACGGGTAAAAGTTGCTTACCATGATCCATTGACAACTGATGAGGTGAGGAATTATCACAATCTTATGGGAACGTATGAACCGATTTGCTTTAAGGCTTCCACTTGTAAGGAGGCAGTGCAGGCTGTGACAGAAATGTTGCAGCTAATGGATTTGAGAGTTGATGAAGTTGTTGCTATAGTTGCCAAAAGGCAAGTTGTAGGAGAGAATGAGAACGGTCCTGGTGAGGATGAAGGTGTGCATGGAGTTTTCCGTACGCCCTCTTCTGTGGCGCAAAACAACTGAGGGGACAAACACACCATTCACAGTGGCATCGGGAATCCGTAACAACAATACACCAGTTAGTGGAATCCACGGAAGCTACGAAGGATCTGCTCCAGGTAGGATTAAGGATCCACCCTTACCCAAGAAGAAGGCACATCGTACTACTAATGTTAGATATCCGTCGTGCATTGAAAAGAAAGGAAAACAAAAGGCTGCTAATAAGGCGAAAAATGATACTAGGAAGCAAGCTGCTCAGACCCCGACCAGCATATCTTTATGTACAAGTGAGTATATACGATCTGTAAGGGGAATATAATTGAGGAATTTGGATGGTTCGTTAGGATACTTTACTACGGTTAGGGGAGGACACTCTGGCGGAGTGTTTGCTTCTCTCCTTGGCTTGACTCCTGGTGCATCAGGATCCAATCACAATTGATCTATTCTGTTCAAACTATTGATAAGTATAATTTTTGCGATGTTTAGTGACAATGGTTCAATTTCCTTCACTATACTTACGCACAATTGACATAATTTTTGTTTAAAATGTACCAATTGGTACAATTTGAGCAGAACTAGTAGCGTTTAAAATGTATCATTGACATGTGTTATGATTGTATAATTGGTACATATGATCTTTCCAAATGTACCACTGTTAAACATTCTACATGGCACAATTTTTGTCGCTAAAAAGTACCAATTAGTTGTTCCAAGGGTACTACTGTTAACGAATGGTATTAATATATACAAAATAGGCTAAGAAAGATAACATGATTTAAAAATATTGTTAAATCACAATGTCCATAATAAATAAGAATGATATTGTTCAAAACAAGCAAAACATAAACACATTACCAACATATTCAGTATTAGCTTACTTAAACTAGTTAAACGATCAAACAATCTAATCAAACATCAAACTGAACTCCAACCAACTTAACTTCCATCAGTTGAGTTTTTCAATGGTTGAAGTTGAGTGACCATATTCACCGGATTGCTGGCAGAAACCTCTGGAGACCAACGATCACGGACATGGTACGGTGCATGGGGAATGAAGTCTTTGGGGCTTTCGGGGCTCCTCTCTCTTATCTGCCTCACCCTCCACCTGGGCCTGTTTGGGGCACCGACCTCCACCGGCGCCTGCACTCCTCCCCCACTTGCTCCACCAGCATCTGTTGGCCCCTGTCCAACAACAATTGACCCTTGTCAAGCAACGGTTGCCCCCTGTCCTGTAACAGTTGGCCCCTATCCAGAACCCTTGTTCGTAGCCACTGTCTTGGCCACCTTGGTGGGTCTCTTCCTAGCCCCTAATCGAAGAGGAGTTTGTTTGACGCTTGCGCTCTGTGCGGCGTTGCCCTATGGCTTTTGTTTCTGAAAGTTAGCAATGTCTTTAGAAACATCATTCAACTGACCTTGCAGGCCCTTGCACATGGACAGATGGTCGTTTAATTTCTCTTTTAACATCTTCTCTTTGAACTGAAGGAATTCTAACTCTGAGTATTTCGGTTTTTCTGTGTCTGATTGTACCATTTCCTGTTTACCCTTGTTTTGTTTCACCATTTTTGGTGTTATATAAAGGAAAAACAAAATGGCATAAGAGAAGGTACAAATTATGAAAATGGAGAGCAAGAGGAATGATAAAGATGAAGATTTACAGAATATCGAAGTCATATATATAGAGTGGGAGGAGGTAGTTATTTGATCATGGGATGTGTCATAACCGCTCCTATTCCCTCATTCAGTTTCCCTTTGTCTTTGCGCCAATTGATGTGAGGAATTCAAAAAAGTACCATTTATTGTACCCAAATATGTAGATGGCACTTACGTGATGTAGTAATGTTCCACTGTGAAAATATATTTTGAACACCTTTGAATAAATTCTTTCGTGATAAAACGACCAAACTTGACGGTTTTTTTTAAAACCAATTTTGTTCTAACGGACGGTTTTTTTTACCATAAAAATTGTATTAAAATTTTCACCATAATGTATCCTTTAGTTAACATTTTTTCTTAAATACTCGTATCTCTAATTGGCTTATTTTGAACAAACAAACTTTATTTGCGGACATTTTTAATAACCATCTCTTAAATTAAGTAGAATTTTGTTTCCAAGATCCATGTACTCCGTATATATTACCAGTTCACCACAAAACATACCTACGTATGACATAATCTAAATAAGAACATGTGCATCAAATGGTCCATAATGATAGTTTGATATAACAAGGAATAGGGATTAAGGTTTAATGAAATATGTTGTACTATTTGTTTAGCGTAATTGTACCACTGCGTAACCAAAGGGTGATTATAGAGTTGTAAAACGTTCCATTAACGAGGCCACAGTCTAGGGTACTCAACGTGCAAGGTAGTAACCTTAACGTGATTGGTTTAATTAGGAAGAAACGATTGCTAACATCATTGGTTCCATTAACGATGGTGAACAATGTTTAAAGTAGAAACGACATAGTAAAAACGCATTTTATTTTATTAATATATAAAACGGTGAATTACAAACACGATAACATGACATGACCAAACGCTTACATAGAAAACTGCACTACTTCAACTCGCATTCACTTTCCTTCAAAGTCGCTTCATTTTCCTTCAGGTACTTCTCCAGGGCTAGATGTTCAGCCTTCTGTTTCACACAACACTTTTCAGAATCGTATGCAACACCATGGGAATGTTGAAGAAGAGAGGTGTAAGTGTAATACTTAACCTTTTTCCCAAGGCAGATGGGGCACCTCATCCCCCGGGTAGACTTACGGACCTTAGTCGTCCCATCAGTAAAGCTTGGTATGGTTTTTCGGAGCATTCCTCAAGCTCCGAATCACTGTACACGATTTCATCACTTGAACTCGACATAGCTTTTTTTAGTTTTTCCTTGTGTGAAGCTCCGAGTAATTGTGGCTCTTCACTTAGTTCATGTTGTGTATTTATAAGCGGGTGAGTGTGGTGTGTTCTGAAAAATAGTTAATTCCAAGGTCCAAATACATTGACTCGATTCATCGTTTGTACCAATGTGTGGATTTCTGTTGCAAAGTGAAAGTCAGAATACGTTGAACGGTACATCATAGTTTTTTTTGGAATTCAGCTGTTCACACAGAACTGGTATTTAATAAGTGGTAAAATGTACTACCAGATTCACATTGTACACCAAACGAGATAGTATTATGTTCATACTGATTTTGACTAATTAATTCATAACTACATACTTTTGTAATTCCGAAGTTGATTACGACCTTTCCTGAGGCGAATTTGCAAAGTCGTTGCGACTCACAATGTTGATTAGGCCTTAATTAAGTTGAATGTTAGGATAACGTATTAAGAAACTCAGCGGTACAACTTCTGTGTTACTATGAACTCAACCATTTTTTAAAATTTCAACGTTATTGAGTTGTTTAATCTTCTTCCATCATTTGTCTACACGTTTGCACTCTGAGTAATCTGCTGACCTCATATGCTGAGTGTCAGTGGAGTGAGTTGTCACATCAAGTTGAGTGTTACATCAAGTTCAACGTCGTATCTTATGTACCATCCAACACAAGATGGTACATAATTTATTCAAGTTTGTACCAAAAAGAGTATGATGGTACACTTATCGGTCACAGGGTGTCTTCAAACACCAACACAAGTATGGACACTCAATTAATAGATAATGAAAGTCAAGCTACATGTATGGACAACCATTTGGACTTTTATAATGTAGGTATTAATAATGTAGTCATAATACGCAACATTATCTCTTATACATAAGTCACTTTGTTGAGTAAGTTTATATGAGTAATGTATATAGTCTGTGTACTTGTGTAGGTTGTATTCAGAATAGTTCTTGTGTGTTATAGTTATTGTTACATACGTACAACTGATAAACCAAATATGCACCGTGTGGAGTAAC